AAATCATCTAATAAGACCAGGGATTGTTTGACCATGCTTTCTTATTTAGTCAATTTTTGCAAAGGGCACTTTCCCCGTACTCTTTATTGCCTGACTCCCTGAATGCTAGCAAGACCAAAAAAAAAAAAAAAATCTGGTAGTGTAGGTAGTTATGGGAACTGAAATTTGTTGTAGATATTTCCTTGTCGATCTGGAAATCTTGTTTAGGAGTTAGACATTTGAGTCATCCCCCAGGTCTGCAGCCGGAAAGTGAGGTCTATAACAGAGGCAGAAATCAGTGGGATGGCTATAAAGTATCACTGGGACCAAAAACCAGGCAATGCCAATCAGGCATTGCTGGGGGCAATTTCAACCTGCCATTTATCAGCTCTTTATGAGCTAAGCCTCAGTTTCCTCATGTGTAAATTGAGGTGTTCTGCATGTCTAAGATGATAATTACATAATACTTTCTTTACAAAGTTATTTTAAGGGTTAAATGAGATTATACAGTCAAAGGGTATGGCACACAGAATGCGCCTAAACTATGATTACCCTTATCAATAGAAACATCCCATGCCTTTGTAGATTCCGAACTTAGTTCTCCTGCAATTAACATCAGATTCCTTCCTCCTCGTAGGACCCTAAGTCTTCTGGAGGGAGAGGAACTGCCTCCACGATGCCTCCTCTTCTACAAATTAGGAAAAAGGAGGGGTGCTCAGAGAAGCGTGTTGTCCTGACAGAAGAGGCCTTGAATAAAATGCCCCCAAAAAATGTGCTGGGCCCCGATATGACTATAGTTGTATTTTTAGGACAAAAGCCACTCTGAGTTTAGAAACACTTTTAAATGACTTAAAAGCACATTAATCCCAGGGTGCCTGGGTGGCTCAGTTGGTTAAATGGCAGACTTTGGCTCAGGTCATAATCTCAAGGCTCATGAGTTCCAGCCCCACATGGGGCTCTCTGCTGTCAGCACAGAGCCCACTTCAGATCTTCTGTCTCGCTCTTTCTCTGCCCCTCCCCTTTTTATTAAAAATTAAAAAATTAAAAATTAAAAAAAATCAGCAAACATTTGGCCACCAGGAGTTACTACATGTGAAAGGTGTGTTATCTATTCTGGCCACAGGCTGGGCTCCCTTCCCATGTACATGGATTTCCTGCAACACTGCAGTTGCCTAGGAATCTAGAGCTCAAGGTTTAGAAACCACCAAACACAAATGCCTCTGCAAAAGAATCATTTAAGAGTTTATTGAAAACTCTTAGGCCCCACCCCTAGAGATTCAGTAGATCTAGGAGAGAGAGGAGGAATGTGAATTCGGTAACTCCCCGTGTGACGGGTAAGCAAAAGGGACGGTGAATCCCGCGGGGTGTATAAAGCTCTGGAAATTAGCATTCCTCGCTGGCTCCTCGTCTTTCTCTTCCAAGGACCTCATTCCGATCACCTTTCCTTTGTTTCTCACAGTTCAGGGCTTCTTTAACGGGGGTGTCGTGCGGACATCACAAACCAAAACGTGTTGGAAAATCTCTGAGAGTCCAACATAATGACTGGTTTTCTTTAAAAAGCAACAACTCATCTTTGCTTTTTGAGGACTGAATTTTGATGCTAACAATACCTTCACATCTGTTTGTACTAAGTCAGAGGCAACCTGTGCTCACAAATGAAAGATGCAGGGATTAGGCTCAAGTGGTCTGGTTTGATAATTGGCTCTGGGATGTAAACACCACAACAGTACTTTAAGCTATTCCTGAGGAGAGAAAAAAAACATTAGGCTAACAGCCAATAGAAAAGCCAACACAGAAAATGTTGATAAAATTAGAAAATAGCATAAGAAGGAGCCACAGAGCCAAAAGAAAGAGCCCGTCTTCACCACCAGCTCGCCCCATCCAGAATACTCCCCCAGAGCCTCCCAGGCTCCTACACATGGGAAGGAACTGGGGGTAGAGTGCCAGGAGAAGTCCCTTTTTCCTATCCTTCTTTATCTTCAATGCCCTTGAGTGCCTCTTCAATTTCTTGGGAATGCAAGCGCTTAGTTTACAAGGTCAAAAGACCATGAAATGTTTTCCAAAAATCAAATCGTCATTTGAACAATGAAAAGTGTTTTAATATTCTCTTCTGCTATTAAGTCGGTCTCTCTGTCTCTGTGTGTGTCTCTCTCTCACTCTTTTTCTCTCTCTCATTTCTCTCTCCTCCTTTCATTTTCTCGCTCTTTCTCTCCCTCCCTGTCCCCCCTTCCCCTCCCCTCTCCACTTCACCACACACAGAAACCCCTTTTCAAAGGGGCTTTTTTCCAACTCAGTGAAGTAAAGTCTTTGCCCCTTTGTGGGGAAGGCTCATTAACATTCCCACAGCAGCATCTCTTCAAGGATTTTACTTTTGTAACTCTGTGGGGAGGTCAAGAGGCCACAGAGGAGAGGTAAAAGGAAAAAAATGGTAAATGGGGGAGGGCGGAAGAAAGGAGAGGAGGGGAAAGAGTCCTTCCTTTCACAATAAGGCCAGCAAAAAGGAGGGAGGGAAAAAACTAGGAAAAGACAAGACAGGCAAGACCCAGGAAGGACACAAATGTTGGACCCCCACTTCTGCCCTCAGACATCATAGACTCTTGCGAAGACCAGGAAGCTATATTATTTCTCTTGTTTCTTCCCCACCCCACCCCACCCCCCAAAATGGAAGTAAATGATGGAAACAGTAGGCTGAGAGAGACAGGATCCAATCTATTCCACTGAGGAATTAGAAGCTTCCCTGGTCTCAGGGTCCCCATTTCCCCTACAATAGCCTGGTGATAACTGCACCTGCCGCACAGAGAAGTTAACAGGATGAATTAGACAATGTCAGCAAGACTTCCAAGAGCGGAACATGAGGGAGCCACCCAGGGTCCTGACCCCGAAGAACCGGGAATATAATGGAGATTCGGTGAACGCCAAAGCAGAGATCAGAGGGCTTCCCAAACCCCTTCAGATGTGGGTACCTGCCTCCTCATTTCTCACCAGCAACCTTCCAGCCATCTGTTGTCTCTCTCTCCCTTTCTTAGCATTGTCACCCAGCCTGGACCTGGGTAAGGGAGGCAATCGGGGGAATTTTGCACCAGACACTGTGAGTGAGCTTGGTTTTATTTTTCTCTGAAGACGCACCCATCAGAGATTTATATCACAAAACTCCAAAAGGGAAAAGAATTCTCACTTTCCTAATGGATGGTGTTTCAGACGCTCTCTCATCTCAGCCAGGAGAGTAAAAGGTAAATAAGATTAGGAGAGGACTTACTGCGTCATAGGGAAGAGCTGGGACACAGCTGGATAGTCTATGCCCAGTAGCACAGTTTTACTCAGACACCACGGGACACCATGGCCAGAAATTAAAGAATAACTGAATCACCCTTAATGTGCAGGCTGAGAGCAGATACCTCGCTGGTTCCCAAATGATGTATTTTAGAGATGGAGAATTTTTCTTGATGTTTATTTTTGAGAGAGAGAGAGAGAGAGACAGCACAAGTGGGGGGGTCAGAGAGAGGGAGACACAGAATCTGAATCAGGCTCCAGGCTCTGAGCTGTCAGCACGGAGCCCGACGTGGGGCTGGAACCCACAAACCCTGAGATCATGACTTGAGCCAAAGTTGAACACTTAACCAACTGAGCCACCAGGCGCTCCTGTAGAATTTTTTTTTTTAATTTTTTTTTCTACGTTTCTTTATTTATTTTTGGGACAGAGAGAGACAGAGCATGAACGGGGGAGGGGCAGAGAGAGAGGGAGACACAGAATCGGAAACAGGCTCCAGGCTCCGAGCCACCAGCCCAGAGCCCGACGCGGGGCTCGAACTCACAGACTGTGAGATCATGACCTGGCTGAAGTCGGACGCTTAACCGACTGCGCCACCCAGGCGCCCCTAGAATTTTTTTTTTTTAATTTAAATTCTAGTTAGTTAACATACAGTGCAATATTGGTTTCAGCAGTAGAATTCAGGGATTCATCACCTCCACACAACAGCCAGTGTTCATCACAAGTACCCAACATCCATCTAACCCATCACCCTTCCTCCATCAACCCTCAGTTTGTTCTCTGTCTTTAAGAGTGTCTTGTGGTAAGTTTCCCTCTAGAGACAGAGACATTTTTCAAGGTCAAATATGATATCCACAAGGAAATTCTTTCTGCAGAATCCTTGTCAGTTTTCAGCCTCTGTGAGAAATTACTACAGAGAGCTTACCCATTTACTGGAAAGTCCATTACACTATTAGAAAGTTCCTTCATACTGAGCTGGAAGTGCCTCCTTTAGATTCTACTCTGGAGTAGATAGAACTCATCTGTATCATCCTTTCAGATGTAGTATCCCTTCAGCACCAAGAGCTGTGATGTGGGAGAAACAAAAAAAGTCACTAGCTCTGTTGTTATTTTATTTTTTAATGTTTTTATTTTTGAGAGAGAGAGAGAGAGAGAGTACAAGCAGGGGAGGGGCATAGAGAGGGAGACACAGAATCTGAAGCAGGTTCCAGGCTCTGAATTGTCAGCACAGAGCCCGCCACAGGGCTCAAACTCACGGACTGTGAGATCATGACCCGAGCCGAAGTAGGACACTCAACTGACTGAGCCACCCAGGAGCCCCATTATTTTAAATGAGATTCCTTAAGACCAATCACTTTTTTTTTTCATGCTAGGAGCCTGGTACCTTTATTGTACCTTTAACAATACAGAGGAAAAAAATGCTAGCCTGCCATCAGGTGTACCTGGCTTCCAGGCCTGCCTCTGTTACATGATGGCTGTGCAACCTTGGATAGATTACTTAACCTCGCTGAGCCTCTTGCTTATCTGCGAAGAAAGTCATCTCTGGAATGCCTGGTTGGCTCAGTTGGTTGAGCAGCTGACTCTTGATTTTGGCTCAGGTCATGATCTCACAGTTTTGTGGGATCGAGCTCCACATAGGGCTCTGCACTGGCAGCTTGGGAGTGTCTCTCTCTCTCTCTCAAAATAAATAAATATTAAAAAATGAAAATAAAGAGAATCATCTATAAATAGGAGTGGTCAGAGCTGTAATATTCAAAATATGTCACGTATATGAAAATATCCTTTAAATTATAAAGAGACCTCTTTATATTTAGTTTTATTATAACGACTGTCCATCTACACTCAGTCTTTTCGCCAGCCTTTCATCTCCCCAGTTTCAACTGGTGGTAGCTGACTTCTTGGCCTCATAATCAGGATATACCAGAAAGTTCTTATTTCAGCTTTACACCCCAGAAGCAGTCGCATCATCAAACAAGGTGGCATCGAATCATGAGAGAACCAAAAAGCACTGTGGAGACCTGGGATGAAGAGTTAGAAAAACAAGCAGGGACATTTTCTGAACAGACAGCACAGGGAGAGGCCTGAGCCCTGGCAGTGAGGAGAGGGTTAAATCCTTCCCTCTGCAGTACAAAAGAAAAGAGTGTGCGGAAAGATTAGGATTTTTGCTTTTACAATGGGAGCTGCAGAAGCGTAGGGAAGAAGCTGAAGAAAAAAAAGGGGGCGTCTCCCCTTTAAAGACTTGCAGAGATTGAGAGAGAAAGAGAGAGAGAGAGAGAGTCAGGGACAGAGAATCAGAGGGAGCGCGGGCCAGTCTGTCTGTCTGTCTCTGGGAAGGGAGACCATCTCTGCTTCCCAGTGATTAGCACTGGGGGAGAGGCATCAGTTGGCTTCAGACCCAAGGGGAGACCAGACCAGGTCACCCCGGTTAGGACTAAGTGAGCTTTGCCCCTCCCTACCCCACCTCCACCCGGGAATGTCTCGGCGAAAGCAGCGGAAACCCCAACAGTTAATCTCGGACTGCGAAGGTCCCAGCGCGTCTGAGAACGGTGGGTGCCTGGGGAGGGGTGCGGGAGCCCTGAGTCCCAGCCCGTGTGGGTCAGGCCAGGGCAAGGGAGGGCACCCGGGCCACGGGTGAAGCCAGGGGAGGACTTGGTCATTGGGGGTTTGAAGAAGTTGGATGCAGAGAGTAGCCAGGCATTGACCTGTGCTTGGGGAGAAGCCCCGCTGCTTGGCTTTTCTCAGATTGGATTCTGTTTGTGTTTTCCTTGTTTTTCTCCGGATGAAATGGAGTTTTCAAACTGGCTCTGTCTCCCCACCCAAGAGTTTTCTCCTCAGGTCCCCCTTTGCTCACTGGTCTTTGTGTCGTTGCTAAGTAACCTCCTCAGACCTGGAGGCCAGTCTCTTAGGGGTGGGATTTTCCCCCCTTTTCTTTCTGGAGAGTTGGGTTGCAAGAGAATGAATTGGATAAACGTGAAGGTTCCCCTGAGGGAGAAGAGAAAAAAGTTTCTCATTGTTGGGCTGAGCTGAGAACAGATCAGAGCTCCCAGAGGGAGAGAGCTAATGTCGGTCAGATGCAGCCTGGCTTGGGGTGCGGATCCGTGTCACCTAGGGTAGAGGCTGGAGGAGAGGTCTGGATGAGGGACTCAGGTTTGTGCTTCAAGGGAGGCCACGGTGAAACAAAACAAAACAAAAGTATGAATTAACGTACTTGCATCTGTTTTTAAAGTAACAGATTTTCTGGGGCGCCTGGCTGGCTCAGTAGGTAGAGCATGCAACTCTTGATCTTGGGGTCGTCAGTTCCAGCCCCGCATTGAGTGTAAAGATTACTAAAGGAATTAAATAAACTTAAAATAATAAAGTAATAGATTTTCTTTGTGGGGGGGGGGGGAGAATTTTATGTATTCCTATAATAGTCCAGTCAGAGGCAGATAGTAGAGTAACTTGGGGTATTGAGAAGTGACATTGCCCAAAGTCTCAGAAACACTTAGAGCACTTTGTCAGGACCAAAACAGGTTTCCTGATGCTCTGGGCTAGTGGGCTCACTCTACTAAATTAGAATTTTTCAAATTTGCTTGAACGTGGATCCAGGGTAGAGTCTGGGAATCTATATCTTTGCAAGTGTCCAGGTAATTCTTAGGCTCAGGCAAGTTTTGGATATACTGTATCAGTATATGGCTATGTATGTTCACACTGTGAAAGTCTGGAAGTTCTGCCCCTTAGGGATAAACTATTTAGCAAACAGTTGACTCATTGGGCAGTGCAGTGTGGTACTAAGAACAAGGGTTCTAGCAAAAAACAAAACAAAACAAAACAAAACAAAACAAAACAAAACAAAACAAAAAGAAAAACAAGGGTTCTGAAGTCACACTTTCAGGATTCAAATCCTGGTTAGCTGTGCAACTTGGGTTCGTTTACTTTGCCTCTCTGTGCCTGTTTCCTCATCTGTAAAATACTAGCTACCTCATTAGGTTATCATGAGGATTGGAATGAGTTAATAGGTGTAAAGCACTTGGAAAGATAAATAGCATAAATAAGTGCTCAATTTATGTGGTATAGTAGTCCCTAGCATAACTAAGTACTTAATGCATGTAAGTATTGTTATCATATGTGAGGACAGTGGCACTTCCTGCGAGGGCTGAAACCTGACCAAACCTCAGGCATCTCTTGGTGAACTTCAGTCCTTCTCTATGAGATGTGTGCATGAAAAGCTCTAGGATAATGTATTTGTAGTGACTAAAACTGAGTCATGGGTTAAATTTACCTTTCCACCTGTTGTTGTAAAAAAATGACCTGAGATGAAATCAGTGCTCCCCTGTGCTATGGAACAACTTTAACAGACATACTGTGTTTTGGGTAGAACACATTCTCCTCAAGTCACTGCTTTGCTGGGGTCCCACTGTGCCCATATTTAGAGGTTCATGATGGTGGCATCCTTCCCTCCTGGGACACATTAGCCTTCCTTAATGCTGCTGCAGGCCGGATGTTTCCTCCTCCGGCTCTACAGGAGACTTCCCGTAGAGCCTCGGAGTTGCCTCTCAGTCCTGCTCCCCTGCTGGCTGGATTGTGGAACAATGCCGAACCCCTGCCCCCTCCAAGAGACAATTTCTCCTCTCCCCACACTTCCCAAGTCTGCTCACCCACTCCCCGTAGTACCACTGTTGACGAAGAGCTTGTGCAGGCGTCAAAAGAAATCTTTCACCACTGCCCTGAGTGGATTCTTAAGCCCCTTGTGCTATGGCTTCCACTTGGGGCCGTGAACACTCTGGGGCATGGGGTTGCTGCTACAGAGTCATCCCTGCAGAAACAGTGCAGGCTCACATCCGATGGCAGCAGCAAATTCCGGCTGAATTTTGCCTTTGAGCCAGAAACGGTCAGAAACACAAAGGTAAGGAGTAAGAAAGCAGTAGTAACCTCTGAAGGTCTGCCTAAAGAAAGCAAAGGGCTTTCTGATCAGAATTCTCCGGGGCTACTTCCACGCCCTGGAGTGTCACCGAGTCACATCTGGAAGGTGAGGTGGCTGTACCAGAGCAAACCTAAAATTCCTTCCTCCTCGTGTAAGACAGATAACTTTCCCATTCCCTCCTTTTCCATCGATACGGTTTCTATTTGCTTGTGTGATCTTCAGGCGGCTGACTTTTCCTTCTACCCCAGAAACATTTTTTTGTTCTGCATGCCCCCAAATTAGGGTAGGGAGGACTCTCTGTCCTCTGGCGTACCTGTGAAACTACGGGCTTCCTCATGAGCATCAGCAGACATTTATTTAGCAGGCTAGGGTGCAACCGAAGTTTTCAGGAGGCTTTGCCTTCTTTTGGGCAACGTTTACCATACCTGACAAGCAAATGCTCAGCCTTTGTCGCACATGTCCAAAGCCTCATCTCTGCAGTGACCTGAGACGTCACCAAGAAATGGTCTGAAAACCTGTTTTCTAGCCCTGTTTTTGTTCAGCTTCCCAGACCAGAACACCAAAACCTAACAGAATAGTTACTGCACATAAGTGATGAGAAGGAAATAGTCTTTTTACTTAAAAACTCTGGAGAGAGAAAAAAAAAATCTCTCTCCCCTACAGAGTCTAGAAATCTGGATTAGGAACATACGAGATGTGAATAGGGAAAACGTAAACTAGTACATCTGGGAAATGAAGGAAACGATCAGAAACCCAGATATTTAGTGAGAAGGAGAAACCAGGACAACAGCCAAACAGATCGAGAGGGAGAAATGGAAGCTGGCAGACAGCAACAGCAGCAAAAGGAGAAGGAAGGCAAAAAGAGAGTTCTGAGGGCTCTGATCTCTTTATATATGGATGTAGAGAGCATAATCCCTCAGGGTATTGAGTCTAAGCCTTTCAGCCCTAGGTACCCCTGGGTCAAAAAGAAAATATTTCTGAGTAGATGGAAAGTAACTCGGGCCAGGTGCAATATGGAGCACTGGATCAGGAAGCAGGAAACCTGGGTTGTTGTTTTTTTTAATTAAAAAAAATTTTAAGTTTATTTTTGACAGAGACAGAGTGTGAGCATCAGCTGGGGAGGGGCAGAGAGAGAGGGAGACACAGAATCCGAAGCAGGCTCCAGGCTCTGAGCTGTCAGCACGGAGCCTGACACGGGGCTCAAACTCATGAACTGTGAGATCATGACCTGGCCCGAAGTCAGACGCCCAACCAACTGAGCCACCCAGGCACCCCGGAAACCTGGGTTTTAATCCAGCTTTGACCTTGAAGCTACATGACCTTGGATGAGTCCATTCTTCCCCCGGGGGCTTCAGTTATTGGTCTTTAAATAATAGCACTTCTAGGGGTGCACCTGGGTGACTCAGTCAGTTGAGTGTCTGACTTTGGCTCAGATCATGATCTCACAGTTCATGGGTTTGAGCCTGTGTCAGGTTCCGTACTGACAGTTCAGAGCCTGGAACCTGCTTCAGATTCTGTGTCTCCCTCTTTCTCTGCCCCTCCCCTGCTTGTGCACTGTCTCTCTTGCTCTCAAAAATAAATAGACGTTAAAAAAATTTAAATGATAGAACTTCCTGCCAATATTTCGGGAACATTTACTATTTGGCAGGTACTATGCTAGCCCTACACATATTTCCCCTTGATTCCTCCCAACTCTATTATTATCTCCATTCAATTTGTTTTAAGTTCATTTAGCTATTCATTTGAAAGACATGGCGTGCAGGGGAGGGGCAGAGAGAGAAGGAGAGAGAATCCCAAGCGGGTTCCATACCGCCAACACAGAGCCCAACCCAGGGCTCAAACCCATGAACCATAACATCATGACCTGAGGTAAAACCAAGAGTTGGACCCCCAACTGACAGAGCCAACCAGGTGCATCTCCATTCATTTTTTTTTTTTTTTTGAATGTGTGGTAAAATATACATAACAAAATTTACCATTTTAACCACTTTTAAGCATATGACTCAGTGATTAAGTATATTCACAATGTTGTGCAACCATTACCACCATCCATCTCCAAAACTCTTTCATCTTTTAAAATTGAAATCCTTGGGGCGCCTGGGTGGCTCAGTCAGTTGAGTGTCCGACTTCGGCTCAGGTCATGATCTCACAGTCTGTGAGTTCGAGCCCCGTATCGGGCTCTGTGCTGACAGCTCAGAGCCTGGAGCTTGCTTCCGATTCTGTGTCTCCCTCTCTCTCTGCCCCTTCCCTGCTCATGCTCTGTCTCTCGCTGTCTCAAAAATAAATAAAAACATTACGAAAAAAAATAAAAAATAAATAAAATAAAATAAAACTGAAATCCTATACCCATTAAACAATAATTCCCCATTCCCTTCACTCTGCAGCCCCTAGCAATCACCATCCTATTTTCTGTCTCTATAAGTTTACCAATTCTAGGTACCTCATATAAAGGAATTACACAATATTTGTCCTTTTGTGTCTTGCTTGTCTCACCATGTTTTCAAGGCTCATCCTTGTTGTAGCATCTGTAAGAATTTCAGTCCCTTTTGAAGTTATACCCCCATTTTATTTTATTATTTTTTAATGTTTATTTATTTTTAGAGAGTGAGTGAGTGAGTGAGTAGGGGAGGAGGTGCAGAGAGA